TCATTAGATAAAAAAACTATAGTGTTTCTGAAAGAGCTGAGGAAGGGCTATCTTCCTATGCATTTATCTCAATTTTCATTTTTTTGACGAAAAGTGACTTTTTTGGAGGGGGGGGGGGGGTGGCCTTAACCCCTCTACAATTGTTTGATAAAACTCTTCTATCAAGAGAATGATATTATTGTTTAAACCAAAGCATTTATTAAGGTACTTTATTGAATGACAGTTCACACTAAATCACTTAATTCAGTTAATGCACTCTCTTCTAATATGCAATGAATTATCATTGCGACGATGTATCGTACGAAGAACTGTATTAGTACCTTGTTTCTCTAATCGATAACAATAATTGTTTACCAGCTAGGAACAATAAAGTAGAAGACGTATAGCAGGCGTTATGTTTTCTATTATTCAGATATGTAAGAGTATCTTATATACCTGACCGTTTAATGAAATGTAGGCACTTCCTACGAAAAGAATTAATACAAAAAATGGAAGACATACATTTCACGTCAATAAATTCATGCTTGTTGCTATGAAATGTAATATGGAAATATCCAAAAATCATATTTCGTGTTTTGATTAAGTCGAATATAAGTTAGAACGTAAAAAAAGTCACATTACTATAGTGAATCATCGACATCAGCTGTGTTTTTTTTCGATAAAAAAAGATACTGAAAATAAGTTGGAATAAACCCACAAAAACTTCTTTGTTATTAAATGTTTGAACAAACATTCGAATGTATCATTCTTTTATAAGTTTGTACAACATTAAGTTGAGAAATACAAAAACTCGATATTGCATACAGTTCTGAAGTATGAAAATCAACTTTGTCGTACGAGATGATCAATTCGAGGCTTTAAAACTATGACAATGATATGATATGCGTGATTAGAAAAATGAAATTTTAAAAATGAATTATATATTTTTCTCGTTCACTTTTTCAGATTTAGTCACACTTTATCTGTCTTATTCAGAGTGAAGTAATGCGACACAACTTTATGGATTCTATTACGCTTTATATTTTCTAGTATAATAGAATGGACTCAATAATATTTATTTTTGAAGAATAAATCATTGAAATTTTATGAGAGGATATAGTAATCAAGTATTCAAAAAAATGCAAAATCAGAAACCATATCACAAATGCATCTGTGTAATGGATTTTATACACTTAATTTATTTTACTATACAACAATATAGGCTTGCAAAAATCAGTATTTTATTTTCTTTCGGTACTGTTAGTCTTCCAATAAAAATATTTGATGTTGCAATTATTGACTACAACGTTGGATTCTTTTAAAGTTTTCTCTAGAATACTACTAGTATATCGGATGCGAGTATGAATGGGTTAGAAGTTTGGATGAAGAGAAGACTCATGTTCATATTCCAAAATTTCGCTTAACTGGAAATGGTAAATTACTTTGAACTCCAACGAATCATTACTTGGTCTCAGTGTTCGATATAGGTCAATCGTTTGTAACCCGATCCGAGATCAAAGTTAGAAAGTCGGTGTTCATTGTTCAACTACACCCACTTACATCCTATTTCAAAACATATTTGATATTGATCTTTTAATACTAATTTTGTTTATCCTGTAGAATCAGTTTCACGATGCTTATGTACAAGTGAATATAAAGCTTTGAATAAAATATTCCACTTTCTTTTATTTTTCCAATAAGATTTCTATGGATTCGATTACCTCAAATTAAATTAACAATAAGATCTATGAATACACAAGAACAAAAATACATTTTATACGAGAATGAGTAGGATCACTATTTTTTTAATTTTCACGAAATTATAATTCAATGACACTTACATTTTTATGAAGACATACTTATGAGATTTGGATTTTTAGTTCAAAACTTGGAAATTTAACTTCATAATTTTGTGCCTATGATATCCAATTCAGCGGTCTGATGAATTATGCAAAATTGTTAAAAATTTAGGTTGGTACAAAATATTTTTTGAAGACATTTATATTATTTAATTCTTCATACTTGCAATGTATAACATTTATTGAAAAAGCATTTTATTCAAGTCGCACACAGAAGAAAGTAAAACAATAAGAAAACTTTTCGTAAATTAATGCGTTCAAGACGTATGTATTTAAATACAACTAAGTCATAAAAACGGGTTCTAAATGACTTTTTTCATGGCTTCGATACTAAGATAGTTAAACAGATTAGATCCGGCTCGATTCTAACATTGTACCTGATCGAGGTCGAAATTTTCGCGTCGGACAGCTCTATTGATACTAGCTCAATGATTGAAATATTATTGAAGTTCGGTTGAATAATAAGAAACATATTATGACTTTTCTGGTCCAATTTCTTGTAGAATTCTTTCAAAGAGGCAAAGCTCGATTATGACACTAGAACTTTCTCAAATTAAGATTATTTGTGGATTTTTTGAATCCATACATCGTCTCTTCAGGATCTCAGTTATATTTTAAATAAATACATGTTATATCTTGTATTTTACAATTGAATACATGGCTACTCTTTGATACTTAGCAATCTATAGATATATTTTCTAGATGGTCTGGAGACACTCGGTGAAATTATGTTTCTAACAAAAAATAAAAGTAGTTGTGCAATATGAATTTCAAATTCAATGGAAACTTTTACTAGAACTTTTCATTAACATATACATAGTTTGAAAAATCGAAGCAGTACTACGATGTTATCAAACTGTAAACTATAATATTACTTGTGAATGCTTTCTAATTCAAATAGAGCACAACATATTGGATTACATTATACTGCAAAAATAACTTTAAAAGAAAACATTTTGAGGCTAAGAACTATTTATTTCCCATCGAAAACTTATACGGATTCGGGCTAGATATGGGTGTTTCTAAACATCAGTTACCGGCACCCACACCCTATCTCCTTTTAATTATCCATTGTGTTTACAGTACCTAACTCTAGTGTCATAGGGTATAGAATGTCTAATCAAAAAAAAAAAAATATATATTTCAAGATCAATTGTTTGATGGTAATCAGAATGATGCCTCAACACAGTATACATTCAGTATCGTACTCACGTAAACAGGTATAGAACACTTCTAATACGAACATAATATTTATTATCAAAGGATCACATAAGTTTGAAAGATTATATCAAAAGTGTTTAAAATAATATTATTATGGTTTAGAAAATCAATTGTCGAATAATTTGATAAAAAAGATAGAAAATGATTAAATTGTATCTTTCAAAATAAACCTGTTGATGAGAATTATTTCGAGTTGTACTGGCTGAAGTTGATGTCGGTATTGTTGACGTTCCTTTTGTCGAACTAATACTAGAACGAGTACTTTTTGTTATGATTTGAGAAGTTGTACTTGTTGTACTTGTTGTAGTAGATGGCATGATAGAATTACATTGATCAATTTCGATATCATCAAATGCAATAGATACTGACATAGAGTCTCGCTGATTGACATCAAATTCAACTGTTGCTGCACAAACAATGTTTGATGCAGGTACGACAACTGTTTGCCAACCATCACTATTATCTAACATTCGAAACCATGAATCAGAACGACATCCAACAGGATTCATAGCTATACTTGTCCTGTTCTTATTATATGCCCATGATTTCACATAATAAGAAAATTTAATACACATACCAAAATTGAATTCAATTGTTTTTGATAAGTATAGCATACCCATATTATATGATGTGTATGGTATTGTTCGATTCCAATAGAGAAAGCCACCAGATGATGAATTCATCGTATGATCACGAGTGGGACCAAGTTCTTGATTAGGTATTGTATCACCAGTAAACACAGGAAAATTAAATGTCGATGGAGGAATTTTAATACTCTCCATACCACATGTAGTCAAATCGTCAAAATTACATGAGAAAGAAAGTAGAGACTTTTCTGATCTAAGTTTCGTTGGAGGATAATCACAGGATATAATAGCAATATTATCAAGAGCAAATGTATTTGCAGAATCGAGTTTGTTTTCCAGACGAAAAAGAAGTGAATAATTACCAACAGGTAAGTTAATGATACCCCAATTCCTAGAGTAAACGATGATTATTTTTACTGAAAATTAGTAAGCCATGTTATCTACTTAAAATGAGTTCATTCCCATAGCTTTCACAAAACATAATCGAAGTTTTAGTGTATGTATATATAACCTTTTTGCACAATTTTAAATAATAGGGAAGAAAAAATCTTGACTGAATAGTGAGCCTCCTGAGAGAAAAAAAGAATGTAGCTATATTATGAATCTTACTAGATAGAAAAAAAGTATTTTATTGAATTGAATGCAATCAAACAAAGATTTCCTTTATGTTTAATTATTTTTTTCTCTCAATAAATCAATCGAATCGAGACAAAAGCAGAACATACATAGGTGAACTGTACTCATATTGTATCGTTTGAATCAAAAAACGAAAGTAAAATATTTGAGTCGTACATTTCCATAGAGCGTCATCGTTCACATCTGAATGAAATCTTTTCCTAACTGTCAGCTTTGTTTTTTGAAAAAAAAGCAAGTTTTCAAAAAGAATGACTGATTTCGATGCTTTTTTTATTAAACAAAATTTCTAAAAAGTGCATGTTGTTTTAAATTTCTTTGTGGTGTACCTTGTTCAATATGGTTTATATATTGTTATTATACATTTTTTTGGAAGTTCTTGAAAAGAAAAACTCGATAAGCATCCATAGAAATTTATCCATAAGTATGAACGAATATTTCAAGAGTACAGAATAGAAGAAGACACTATAACCTGTCTCTTTCACCGCTGCCTGTCTACAACTTCTCATTGGTGCACACTGTTAAGAAATCTCACTAAATTTATAAAAATTATTCCAACTTCGAGAGGAATCGTTCAAACTAAAAGATGTTTAAATGGTTTTATATTTTCTTGAGCGCGTTCATCGGCCTAGTCTATTCGAATTTTCGATGCAAAACACGGTTCTCTCATAAATGTTACTTATTTTGATAGCTGGATTTGTGGCCTTAGACCTACCACCTAGTCAGCTGAAAAAAATAGAAAAATGCTGTTTTATTTTGTCTAATAGTGACTGAAAAAGCAATAGAACGAAATCAGAAATCTGTCGAGATCCATACTGGAATCATAGATACCTATGCTTTCGATCTAAAAGTCTCTGGTCATTTAATATCTTCTACGTGTCTTCAAGAATCATGTTTGAGACACAAATTACGCATATTATTCATGGATAATACAATATTCATCAAAAAGTGTCTATCAATTAATACACTTATATTTGTTCTGTCGATATTTGGTCTTGTGGATTTGTGGTATGAAATAACACAATGACAAACAAAAAATGGCAGTTTCAAAATAAAATGCACAAAACTGTTTTTCAAATAACTTTTGATAGAAAGGAAATAGACACCTAGTGTTTTCATCATTTAAGAGAAGGTCTCTAAGCGCACGAAACTACATGAAAACATAATTGATTAATGACCAGTCAATCCTGTGAGTTTTTATCAGAAATTTGCAAAATGAGATTGGGAAAGCCATTGTTCAATGAATTTTGATTCACAACATAACTAACTCATAGAAAAACTTAGTCTATTTTAATAAGTGTCAGTCCCAATTTCGTGGCATGTTTTATGCCAGAGTTAAGACAATTTTTCAGACATCCTGATCTCAACAGATTGATCTTGGCAGATCTAAAAAGAAGTCAAAACAGGAGTAATTCACCGTCTTCGATTTAATGGTAATTTTCTGTCTCAATTTCGAAGTGCTCTAAACCGACTGTGCAATTATTTCAACTAATCCCAATCCATCATAGAGCAGAAAGACTAATCTAACTGTTTTGCAAAGTAAAAAGAAACATCATCAATCAACTCAAGATAATAAATTGTTCCGTCCATGACTTCTTTTTAGATTTGCCGAGGTCGATTTGCTGAGATCAGAGGTTCTGGAAAGTTGTGTTAGCTCTGGTGCAAAACATGTTATGGAATTGAGATCTTTAGTAATCAAAAAAGAGCAAGTTTTTCTATGACCTATTTATGTTGTGAATAGAAATTTATATTTACATATGGTTTTGCGCGCTTGGAGGTCTTCTCTTAAATGATGAAAAATTTAGGCGCCTATCTTCTTCCTATAAAAATTTATTCGAAAACTAGATATAAGATATGTGTTATAGCAACGACCAGGATCGGTTTTCCTGATTCATTCTCCTTTCACATAATCCAGCATGAAATACTCAGTTACTTTCTTTTAGAATTTCATAAATGAATAGATTAATCATTTCGACACTAGATGCGTGTTCACTTTAAATTGCGTAATATGTCAGTCATACTTGCCAATCATACGCTTGGTATCTACAATCAGAAAAATATTAAGATATTCAAATACCAAACGTTCTTCAGATACTCTTTACCTATATTGACTTGAGCTCGGTTGTGGCCAAAGCATTTGAACAGTTTTCAATTCATCTAAATTCCACACCAATACTCTTAAATTATTTGAATACGATGCTGCGTAGCCATCATATTGAAAATTTAAACAATAAGAGTCGTTAGCGGTTATTTGAAACTCTTTTTGTAAATGAAGATAACCAACTGCACCTTTTCCCATTGTCTTGAAATTAGTTAAGAAGGCATAATGTCCTGATGCATTACCAAATGTATAATCAACAGATGGAGCTTGAGGTTCAATTTGAATAGCATCACGTGCTGACAAAATTGACCATTGGTATGTGTATTTAGGTAACGAAATAAAATCATTTGAACATGAAGATTCAAAATCACAAGAATATAAAACCTTTGAAGGTAGTGGAAATGGTCCATCACAATAATCAACAGATATATCATCAAATGCTAATGGTCCTTGTGTCATATTTAATCGTACGAATATTTTAATTCTCTCGTTTGGTAATGTTATATTGATAAGTGTCCAATCATCAATTGAAATATCTTTACCTTGAACTGAAGCTACAATGCGTATTAATTGTTCATCATCACCTTGTGCAAGTTGAATATTGAACGGAAAATATAAACGAGGTGTATAATACCACATTCGAAAACAATGAGGTTTGCCAGTTGAAGGTTGTAACCAGTCCTTCATCCATATTTGAACTGTAGGATATTCTGGAGTAGTATGTGGATCGTAGAAAATATAATGACCAGAAGTTGTATTCAACGTATGATCATGATTGACAGGATTAGGATGAGCACCATCTGTTAAACCCCAATCTTCATCAATAATAAAATCATTGCAATAGGTTTCAAAATCACATTGAAGTAGTACTGCTTGATTTAAACCTATATTGCAAAAAATAATCAATAAAAGTAACAACATTGTAATACCTTTTTGTCTTTTAGGTTTCAGTTCTTTTATATATATGTATATCGATGATAATAGTTAGGGTTTCACAAGTATGCGTTGGAAGAAAGCATAATGACAAACAAGATATAACGTCATCGAAAGATAATGATAAGAGTTCTTTTTTTTAAGATCTTTTCGTATCAAATGATGTCATTTGAGTTTTATGCATTTTCTCACTAAACCAACCCAAAAACAAAAAAAAATAACATAATAAAAAGACTTCTACAAAATAAATCTTATTATTGAAAATGATTTATAATTAAGTTTACTTTGAGTAGATGGCTTATGTGATATTGTTTGTTTTATTGGATTTAAATAATCAAGTGTTATGTTTAAGAAAAATGACCAAGTATAACAGGTTAGGATAAAATTTTTATCACAAATATATCAAAACTACTCAAAAATAAGTGAGCAATAGTTGACAAGCTCATAAGTTAGCATATTTCGAATTATCTGTGCTAATCAATGCCTCTATGTGATAACGACGCATCGATTTCTATATGACACTAAAATGAAATTTTCCTGATAATGAAATAGTCCAAATATTGGCGATGACACATGATAAAAATATTGTCCACATTCAAAGTCTTATAACTCAACAGCTCACGGATTGATCAGTTATTACACACCTAGTAGCTTATAATATACTCTTGCTGTCTGTTTATTACCATTGAGTAGACGCCTCTCAACTTTATGAATATAATGTGCTCTTTCATAAATCTTTAAAAGTTCGCGACATGTTGCCAAAGCATATATGTAATGAAAATTACGAATAGCAAGTTGTCGTACCATTGCATTATTTATTTTATTGTTGATCGAACTTGAGAAAGCGAAGGAGTAGCGTAATCGCTATATCTTGATGGAAACTGCTCGGTACACTACTCTATCCCTTGAGTTCTATCTGGTTTACACAGAACGTACGTTTATTTAGGAGAGAGAAACGGATCCATAGAGGTCCAAGTGATCAGGTAGCTGCCATCAGTCATTCAGTAGTCATTTGGTTGATAACATTAAAAGAATAGATAATGCACAAAGGCCGTAGACTAATTATTGACATAAAATACTCTTATATTATTCTATTTTTCTTGAACCCTTCTTGGAATATATGAATACAATAAAACAGAGGTGTAGGTGAATAAACAGAAGAACAACACCCACACTCACACCCGCAAACATTAGTAGAAAGCATCTAGAAATCTCAGCAATAGAAAGTAAACTATATCTTTTATCAGTTGAATGAATTTGAATGTGAAAATCAGTAGTAGTTATTTATTTATTTTGCTTAATAAATTGTTTTTTATTTAGCTAAAATTGAAGGTGAATCATCGAATAATAATTGAAATTGATTTTGAAGGAAATTTAATATACAAAGATAAAAAATTTTCATGAAGAAATGATTATGTTTTATTATGAGATAACCGTTCAAGAAATAATTAATGGATTGTTGAGAGTTAGGTCAATACTTTTCAGCAAATAGATCATTTCGTTCTTTATTGATTATATGCTACAGTGGATTTGATACTAAATTAATGAAGAATACAAATTGACTCTTTTAAATGATCACATATGAGTGGTTGATTTGATAAAATTATTACTAGAGTAAATTGATGATGTCAATTTTTATACTTAAATAATTCTAATTCATCAAGTAGATTATCATTTTTATATTCGACAATGGTTAACCAGTTATTATTTTCATGAATATTTTCCATGAAAACAATACAAATGGCAGAAAACTCGTGGTGACATATAGTTAATTTGTCTTGTATTTTTTTTATGTGTATTATAAATTCAAGTACAGTCGTATCTATATCGGTTTTAAGTTAGTAGTCAACATCAAAATTTGATTGTTCTATAAAAGATAGCTCAAAAATATTTTACATGATAATTTTACCCTGTCTTTTTCTTAAATAATATATTTATTTGATTGAAAATGTATAATTAATTTTGTATCAGATGGGAGATAATTTGCGTCCTTTCTCAACAAATAACATCCACGGCCCAAAGAACTCATGTGACAACTTTAAAGTTCATCAGAAAATAAATAAACTATAGTAAATTCAATAGCCTATACATTGCTCTATCTAACGCCCTTTAAGTCAAAAAGTCAAAAAATTTGATGAAAATCAATTATTAGGATGGAAGGAGCCTCAAGCATCAAAACTATAGTAAAGTAAATGACTTTCTATTCTTAAATTATTTTTTTTACAGATATCTTGACTAAAAAATGTTCCTATGGAAATAATTCATCGTCATTAATTTAGACAATTAGACTTTATGGATAAAACTTGCGGGTAATATTCATCTTGTGAAAGATGAAAGTCAATTATATTCTTTAT